GGCCTTCATAAGTAATAATTAAGCTTCTGTGTGATTTATTTGAAAGCTGGATGGTGGCCCCCTCTAAAAGCTAAAAGAGTAACATATCACACTATGTGCGTGTGTGTGTGTGTGTGTGTGTGTGTGTGTGTGTTATACAAGTGACTGTATAGATGGATTATATGATAGGAGCTGAGTCGTCCAGCGACAGTCATCTGCACACTGGAGAAGCAGAGAAGTAGCTGCTGACTACAAAAGGCCGGATGTTTAGCAGCTCCAAGTTTGGATGCTGCTATTGAATCAAAATTTAGAAGGCCAAAGAAGCTGGAGTCTTACATCAGCAGAGGTTCCCAGCAGCAGTGACAGGCACACTCACTTAGAAAACATGTCACCAGAGGGCAGTAGCGGTGCACGCCTTAAATCCTAGCTCTGGGGAAGCAGAGGCAAGCATGGTCTACATAGTCACAGGACAACCAGGGCTATACCGAGAAACCCCGCCTCAAAACAAAACAAAATTTACACAGAGAGAGAGAGAGAGGGATGGGGAAAGAGAGTGAGAAAGAAGGAATGAAAGGCCGGGCGGTGGTGGCACATGCCTTTAATCCCAGCACTCGGGAGGCAGAGGCAGGCAGATCTCTGTGAGTTCGAGACCAGCCTGGTCTACAAGAGCTAGTTCCAGGACAGGCTCCAAAAACCACAGAGAAACCCTGTCTCGAAAAAAAAAAAAAAAAACAAGAAGGAATGAAAGAAAAAGAAAGGGAGGGAGGAAGGAGGAAGAAAAAGGCACAGCTACACTGCACAGCCCTTTATTCTCAGCCTTCTCTGGGTCATTCAATGGAATTCTCAGCTCACATTGAGGATGGGTCCTTCCCTGAATCTAAGCATTAATATGCAGCTTCAGAAATATGAAGTGTGGGGTGGCCCAGCACCGTGAAATCCAGGCTGACAGCATTGGAAACCCAGAAAGTGCTTCGCCTACTGGTCCCATGGGAAGTGTTTATTCCTTCTTGATGACGACAGAGAGCTTTGCTGGGTACAGTAGTCAGGCTTGGCGGTTACCTTTCAGAGAGCTTTGCTGGGTACAGTAGTCAGGCTTGGCGGTTACCTTTCAGAGAGCTTTGCTGGGTACAGTAGTCAGGCTTGGCGGTTACCTTTCAGAGAGCTTTGCTGGGTACAGTAGTCAGGCTTGGCGGTTACCTTTCAGAGAGCTTTGCTGAATACAGTAGTCAGGGTTGGCGGTTATCTTTCAGAACTTGAAATGCCTCTTCCCAGGCCCTCTTGGCTTTCAGCACCTCAAGGACAAGAATCTTTTTTTTTAAATGTTTGTTTTATTTATTTATTATGTATACAATATTCTGTCTGTGTGTATGCCTGCAGGCCAGAAGAGGGCACCAGACCCCATTACAGATGGTTGTGAGCCACCATGTGGTTGCTGGGAATTGAACTCAGGACCTTTGGAAGAGCAGGCAATGCTCTTAACCTCTGAGCCATCTCTCCAGCCCCCAAGGACAAGAATCTTATTCTTCCAGCGGGCACACCTTTATATGTGACTTGGTGTTTCTTGGGCCACTTTCAATATGCTTGCACTGCTTTGCGTACTTAGTGTTTTAATTTTAGTATGAAGAGAGGTTGTCTTGGTGATCTCTTTGGTTTGGTGTCCTAAAATGCCTATCTCTGGAATGGTACCTTTCTCCTAACTCTGGGAAATTTGGCTATGGTTCTTTGGGAAATGCTTTCTATGCCAAGTGAGCTTATTCTTGTGTGTTCATACAGCGTGGGTCTGACTTTTATAGTACTGTGTACTGTCTTGACAGTCCCCCTACACCTTACCTTTGTTGTTGTTGCCTATCAAGTCCCCTACTTCGCCTGAAGGCTCGGCTATTCCAGTGCATCTTCAGCCCATTCTGCTGTTACAACTTCCCATGGGCTTTGATTTGTTTTCACTTGCAGCGTTTCTGACAGTCCTTCATCAGCAATCCTTTGTACCAAATTTCTCTTTCAAATCTTGTTTCATTCAGCTGTTTGTGTTCTCAGCTCATCTTTGCCAGGTACAGTGCATATTCATCTTTAATACCAACATTTGGGAGGCAGACAGGCGGTTCTCTGTAAGTTGGAGGTCAGCCTGGCCTACATAGTGACTCCCAGATCAACCAGAGCTGCAATAGTGAGACCCTGTCTCAAAAAAAAATTCTCTTCTTTAAACACAATTATTATAGGCTGAGCAATTTCTGGAGGACTTATATTGACTTCTTACATGACTGCATTAGATTTAGATTTACACATCAGGGATTATTTCATGTTTATTTTACTGCTTAACCGACTACATTCTTCTAGTTGAAGTATTCACAAGATTCAAGTGGAAACTGGATGGAATATAGTGGGAAGTGTGTACTTCAGAAAATGGTTCCTCAGTGTAGGAGCTCAGGGCGCCTGGTGAAGCCTGCATACTCCCTGAGGATTCTCTACTAGCCACAGCTGCTGGACAGTCCTACTATGTAAATGTTGTGTTAGCCAACTTACAATAGTGGCACCATGGACTTCAACCCCTGTTGGAGTTCAAACAAGGACAGGGAGGGGGTGGGTAGGAAGAGTTGAGGAATGAACACAATCAAAACATACATGAAACTCAAAACTCTTATTAAAGAATATAAAAGTTTATATTTATTTTGCACAAAACCTGTTTTTTTTTTTTGATAAACCTTGTCTTATTCTTTTGCTGTGAAGAGAGACCATGACCAAGGCAACTTACAAAAGGAAGTGTTTAACTGGGGACTTGCCTACAGTCTCAGAGGGTTAGTCCATGATTACCCTGGCAGGGAGCATGGCAGCAGGCAGGCAGGCAGGCCCTAGAGCAGTGAGAGCTCTCATCTGACCACAAGTTACAGGCAGAGTCAACGAGACCAGGCCTGGCAGAGGCTTTTGAAACCTCAAAGCGCACCTCCAGTGACACATGCACTCCAACACCTCCTGCTCCTTCCCAAACACTTCCACTATCTGGGGACAAACATTCCAGTATGTGAGTCTATGAGGGCCGTCCTCATTCAGATCACCAGAGACTCCAATATGTGAGCCTGAGAGGGCCGTCATCAAAACACCAGAGATCTGCATTTTCTCACTAGAGGTTGTGTATCGCTATAATTGAAAAGTGTATTTGGTTTTTTCAATCTTTTGCATAAATTATACTGAAGTTTCCCAAAGGGTTGGGATTATAAAATGTTTTTAAACACAGGGTAGATGCATGTTACATCCAAATCTGACAATCTATGTGCTTATGTACAAAGGTAATTTAATTTAAAACCAATTTTGTAGATATTTATGATATTGAATAAAATATACAATCCAAATCCTTGTGTGTGGCCTGTGTGGCCCACAGCTAAAATTTAGTACTAATAAGCATGGACATTATATGAAATTATGCTAATGAAATACAAGCTTCATTGGCTTTAAATAGGCACACTTTATATTAATGTGGATATTTTTAACACTGATGCTTTTTAAATGCTGGCATAATATTTACTAAAGGAGGTAAGTGAAAGACAGGAATGTACAACTGGTCAAAACAGAGAACAAGTGTCAGCGGAGAGCTCAACCACAGGTGGAACCTGTTTCACAACCGTCACAGCAGAGGCAGAAGGGCCAGAGGTTGGGGAGGCCTGGCACCAAAGGGCATCCGAACAGGGCAGAAGAGAACCTGCACTATGAACTCAGCCGCTGTGCTCTTCCACAGGATCAGGGACCTCGACATTCCAGCACACAGTGAGAAGGGGTTCCTGAGCCTCACCCCTAACTGAGGAACTATGGACAGGCATGGCTTAGGGGGAGTCAGCTTTCTTTAAGGCTGCAGCTCCTGGTAGGTTGATCAAGCTCCAGTGAACAGCCCACCCCTGGGGGTACGGGAGCAGCACAAATGAGGAGTTGATGGGTGACTGAAGAAAGAAAAAGAGCACACGAAGTTGGGGTGGTGTGGGGAGCTGGGGGTGGACCTGGAGGAGGACGGTGACTGGGATCAAGGTACATGGATGGAATGCTCAGAGAACTGCCGTTTTCACAGAGAAATCAAGAGGCCATGGGCACTGCTGTTCCCTGACGGCGAGGTGTCTGCAGTCCCTGGCCTCAGGGGGACGAAACTGTGACCCAAAGCCAGCCTTCCTTCCCTCATGTCGTTTGTCATGCACACAGTCCCAGTCACAGGAGAGTAACTAGTAATCCTCGTCGAGAAACTGATATAGAGCCGGGCAGTGGGGACACACACCTTTAGTCCCAGCACTTGGAAGGCAGAGACAGCTGGATTTCTGTGAGTTCCAGGACAGCCTGGGCTGTTACACAGACACAAAAATCCTGTCTCAAAAAGAAATACACACACACATACGACCAAGTCCCCAAAGAAAACAGAGAGGGCCACAAGAAACACATCCAAGAACTATGCAGAAGGTGCGTTCTGTGGATGCTGCTTACAGAAAACCGGCCGCGCCCACCTGCTGTGTGAACGCTGCTCCATCCACGTGGGTCTGTGAAGTTGATGGAAGCCAGGTTCTCAGACAGTACTGAATTCTCTGGTTATGAATGGCAGGCAGGATGCTGACGGTTTTAAAACACGCTGACTTTAGTGTGCACGAGACCGTGGGGTGTCGGTGCCATGTCAAAGCAGCTAAGCTGGTAACTACAGACGTTGTTCTGGGCTGTGCTGTCAGCTGGGGGCAGTGTGAGGCTGGAAAGGGAAATTTTGAACCATATCTATAAAAATGCAGTTACGAATTTTAATGTCCTTGGAAAGTGCTTTGGGCTCCCGACTCAACTGAAGATGAACGTACACAGCGATGTACTGTGGCCACCACTGCTGGGGCAACACTGCATATCCTTCTCAGCAAGCACAGTTATCTTCTGGGGAAAAACTATTTCATTTTCTTTCATATACTTTTATTTCCAAAATTTTTAAAGTGCACATGCATTATTTTTAAAACAAAACAGCAATATTTCAGAGACAACACCATTCAGTTAGATGTAAATTTGACAAAGCTGAATCAGTAGATAAACATGGTTTATTACTTTACTCGTGAAAGTAACTCCTACATGTCACGTTCAGGCCTCCCTAGGCTGTTTCCAGCTCCTTGGCAGAGGCCCTGTTCTGGTTTGGAGCCCACATCCCATGTATGGATGTACGATGGCCACAAGGCAGGGGTTCCCAGCCCTACCCACTGTAGTGAGACAGCATGCCAAGCAAGTTCCTCGGCTTATCTTGTGTTCAGTGAGGAATCATTTGGGCATAGCCACAGAGGTTGTGAAAATACATTTTAAGAAAAATAAATATTCTGCATAACGTATTTACAAGGTTCAACTGTTCTGCCCTTCATCCCAATTACGAGACGACGGAAAACTCATCAGACAACTAAGGAGCATAACCCCGTTGTTCATGTCAGTTCAGCACAGGACGTGGGGCTGAATATCCACAACTTTCTCTGATCCATATTTAAAAATATACAAAACTGCAAATGCATTTGCTTGGAAGAGTTTCAAGAAAGAAGTACAAATGTCTTTGTGGTCTCCACTCTCATGGTGCCGCAGGACCGCCAGAGCGTCTTCCAGGTCCTCACACAGGCACAGCCAGCCACAGACCCTGTCATTTGTGTCACAGAACACTCACACCAACTACAAGACACACAGAAAGCACAAGGGACAACTGTGGACGAGGGTCCAGGGCTGAGGGCACCATTAAAACTTGAAGAGGTCAATGAAGTGCTGAGGAGACACAGGCGTGAAGCAGCTGTCGGGGTCAGCCGCGGTGCAGGGGTGTCCCGAGTCCTGAGGAGAGGAGGAGGAGGAGGGTCAGGACACATCATTACACTCTCACAGAACTAGCATCTGAATTTTTTAAGTGGATCCCAGTCCCTTTCAATGCTACACAAATGACTTAGCCGGGAATCAGTACCTGAGTGGCCCCAGGGGAAGGCCAACAACAGGTGGCAATGCTTCATCTCTGTGGTCACCCTGCCTGCAAGACCTCTGCCTCCCCTGCCCATGCCCACCGGTTCCTTCTTCCCTTTGCAGGCTTCCGGGATGGGTGAGTAGTCTCCCCACAGAAAGGATGGGACGCCACAACACTGTCCCAAGGGTAGGGGTGCAGAGTTGGTACAATTATTTTAGTAGAAGCAATGAGAGAAATTTAAGATGTGCTGAAAACTGGCACCATCTGGAGAGGCTCAGTGTGGCTGGAGCTGCCGCTCTGGCCTCCAGCAGACCACGCTGAGGTGTGGGATGGTTTGTCAGTCAGCTTTCTGACATAAGTCTAACTGTGGTTAGCGAGAGCTGAACCTTATCAAAGCTGCCACCCGACAGGACAAGGACAGTACAAAGATGGACCAGCACACCGCCACAAGAAGTACCTTCAACAACCAAGCAAGTTGGTAGTCCTTGACACCGTGAAGAGCCAGCAAGGGAGCAGCAGAGGGAGGAAAAGGAGAGTCAGGGTTAGACGGAGCAAGGAGTCACCAGGCATCAGGTTTGAAGCATATATTGTGAAAATAACTAAGACACTTGTGAGTAAATCTGATCAATATTAAACAGTATGAAAAGACAACATCACATTTATACAAGTAAGATAACCGAGGACAAAGTTAGGCAGGGTGGCCAGTGCCTTTAATCCCAGCATTTGGGGAGTAGAGGCAGGTCGGTCTTTTTGCGAATTAGAGGTCTATATGAAGAGTTTCAGGCCGGCCAGGGCCACATAGTGAAAAAATATGTTTCAAAAAATAAATAGAAAGGAAGAAAGAAAGAAAGAAAGAAAGCCTAAGGTAAGAGAAACTATTCCATTTCCCTTTAAGTTATCCAAGCTGACAATCTGGAAGGCTATACCACTCTTTAAAAAAAAAAATGCATAAAGCAATCTCATATTTCCATGAAAAATATAAGATTCTGGGGGGAAGGCCCCTCATCTCTTTTATTGTTCTGGGGTCTTCTCTGTGAATAACTATGGAGCCAACTGTGCCAGTGTGAGGCACTCCATCTATCGACACCTCATGTCTACAGTCCACCAGCATCGGCTGTAGCTTCTGTGTGGCCAGCAGCACTGAGCTAGTGGCTGCTCCTGTGCTAACTGGACGGTCCGTCTGTCCTGCTCAGGAGCGGGGTGGCCTTTCAGCTGTGCTCACGTGGGGGCAGTTCACAAAGACGGCCAATAGCGAGGGTCTGGGAACTGTGCCTCAACACTGGTTCTGGTCATCTTGCTTCTACTGCCTTCAGAGACCTCAGGGTCACTGCTAAGTGTCTAGCCCTCTCTTGGCTACTGAAATACCGAGACAAAAAAGGAGCAGAGAAAGGCCAAGTCCCCAGCCTGGCCCCCAGCCCTCTCTCTGGGCCCACAGTTTCTGACAGGCTTCCCTGTCAGGAAACCAGGTAGTGATGGAGAGAGACATGCGCACACCAGTACGCCTTCTCTGGGTACTGGTAACCAGGTGGGGAACAATCGACTGGGTCTTGAGCAGTAGTTGGAATAATTAACAAGAATCACTCCAGTGTAGTGGACTAGAACTGATGGAAAACCAGCTAGGAAGGAGGCACAGGGTCCCCACGGGGACAGCTGGCCACGGTGGAACATGCCAGGTACAAGACAAAAAGCAGCTCAGCCATGCCCAGGCCCAGGCGAGGACGACCCATCTTTCTTCACACTCCCAATGGACTTGAGGTTCCCTTAGTGTCCCAGTCGACAGTGTTTCCCAGGAAGCTGAGGCAGACACCACTAACATGGGGCACCATTTCCAAAGCCACAACACATTTCCATGGGTCAGGCTGCACATTGCCATGCCTGCAGCACACTGGTCGGCTGGGCCTCCCTGACCGCACACCCATGCCCTCCCCAGGAGGATGCTGTTCTGGAGCGGCATCCTCAGGGATTAAGAAAGGCGGTCCTCCTGACATCTTCACAGGAACATTGGGAAACAGACCCTCCATGCAGCAGAGCCTCTGGAAGGACGGCAGGCGGGGAAGCTGTGCTAATATGAATGACTTCCTGAAACCTCAGACATCCTGCGGGGTTGGCGCCACCCTCCACCAACTTGTCTCTCAGAACGGCAAAGACCAGCAGGGGTCTGCCCTTTAATGGCCTGTTCTGACTTTTCATAGTGAGATCACTATGGCAGGAGAGGCCAATTCTTTGGAAAACTAAGTCATCTTTCAGGTAAAAATAACCAGAACTTAGACATTCCAGGGAAGCTGAGCAGCCAAACAACAGAGATGGTACAGAGAGAGCAAATGTTCTTTGTGCTGTTTTCTTTAGTGGATAGGAAAAGTGCCAAATATTCTTAGATACTAATCCAAGAAAAACACCAATTATCTTATGCAAAAGTCTTCAATTCCATGATCAGTACCTTCCCTCAGCAAGTATCCATACATTTAATATCTCTATAGTATAAAATACTCTCGGGAGGACACGAGAAGCCAGTTTCTAAGCAATGTATTAATTCAGAGAACATTACCAGCCTCAACCGCTCTGACTGACAGACTGTCCTCAGAGCAGCAGAGAAAGGAAGTGTCACCCGCTCTGACTGATACAGACTGTCCTCATCTCAGAGCAGCAGAGATACAGATATGCTATAGCCAGGATCCTACACTCGAGGCTGTCTGTCTGTATGCATAAACTCACCAAGGAACCGAGGACAAACTGAACAAGAACCCTGTTCTCAAGAGAGAGTCTTCTAGAGAGGAGACTGCCTGCTGCGGAGACAATCATACAACTGGCACTTGTTACTTCTGAGGGAGAAGGGAATAAAGGTGGGGTGGGGGGACAGCCTCCTTAGCTGTCCTGCTGGGGACGCCAACAACTACTGCTCAGCGCCTGTCAGACAGCCCAGTGACCTCAGCATCTTTACCCTTCTGCTCAGCTCTGAACCATCACAATAAAAGACTATGCAGTTATAAATGGAGTTTGAACTGAAAAAAATTAAAAATCTGTCAACAATTTGGAGCTTGCCTTGTGTCCTATTTGCTAACAAACTTAGATGGGCATGAAGCAAAATCTCTAAGCACATTTCTGCCGCTACCAGGGGAAAAAGTGACACACAGGGCCCTCCTGTGGCTGAGGGAAACATGCTACTGTAACCAGAGACAAGATGGGCGGGGAGATCTCAAAACAGGCAGTGAGACTTGAGACAGACAGTTTGCCCTCACGTCCCCAGAGCACACGTGGAACCCTTACCTTCCAGAAGAGAATGCTGCAGTGGCGACAGAAATGGAGGGTGTCCCCATACTGCTCTTTAGTGGGGTAGTACTTCTGCAGGGTGAAGTACATCAGCTTCCACTCGATGTGACCTTTCTCTGAAAGGATCAAGTGCCTACAAAACTGAAACAGAAAACTCTGTTCAGAATATTAGATGATCTCTAAAACAAGCATTAAGTATTATATATATATATATATGTGTGTGTGTGTGTGTGTATAATATATATATGGCAGAGCAATATATGAAGCACTTTATGATCTGATATTAAACTCACTTGGATTAAATGAGTGAGGAACAAGTCAATCAAATCATGGTGTTCCCACACAGAGACGACAGACGGCAGCTCTGGAACGAGGTCTGCGATAGCTGTAGATTTTGAGTGTGGCTAAGACTCCTGATTCTTTCTATGCTTGCCATGAAACAGGCACAATTTACCCCCCAACTTCACACTGCTCCTCTATCTTCGTCATGTCCAAATCTACAAGATACACAACATAATGCCTGCCCCTTCCTATCCCTGTATCGAGTGGGCATTGTTCTACACAATAGGCCAGGGATGTCAGTCGAAAGAGTCAACTAGCGAGACACTGAGGACCTTAGCCGGTGCTACCAAGTGGGAAGCACAAGCCCTACAAGTCATGGAGGACCTTGAGACTGTGCCACCAAATGAGAAATATTGGAGCTACAAGACACAGAGGACCTTAATATGGTGCCACCAAGTGAGAAACATGGGAGTTACAAGACATGGAGGACTTGGAGACTGTGCCACCAAGTAGGCACCAAGAGTGAAGCTACAAGGACCTGCTGATTCTTCCCGGACAACAGGCTGACAGGAAGCAGAGCTAGACTATGACTTATTAGGTGAAAAGAATACATGACCTTTGACCAGTAAATGTGATATAGCTCAGTTAATTATTCGGTACTAGGCCATTTTTAGAATCATGATTCCTTTTCAGTATGATACATGAATTTTGTAATTGGTAGAAGAGAATTCAGAAGCAACTTCAGTATACTCTAGTATTATCAAGTCTCTGGATATGGAATACATATCCTCCCAAGATCACTGAGCACCAGGGACCTGGACGGGACCAGCCGACCTGACTCAAGGCATTGAAGCACCAGGGACCTGGACGGGACCAGCCAACCTGACTCAAGGGCACTGCACCACACGCTCACCTGCTTCTCTGCAAAGTGGTACTGACATAGTTTCTTCCACAGCCGCCTGTCTTCACTGAGCATGTACAGTGTTGGTGTCACCTGGCCCAGGGTGACAATATCCCAGCCGTCTGAGAAACGGTACAGGATGTTGTTCAGCATGTGCAAGGGCAGGTCACTGAGTGTGAGGCCAGAGTTCACCTGCTAAAAGGAAACACAACAGCATCAAACAGGAGAGAACACAGTGGCTTCCTTCAACAAGAAACAATGGCCATGCTAGGCCAACACCTTCCGTGTGACTACAGGAAAGAAGTCTGTCCTGTAATGCTCACTTCAGTGTAACCCCACTCCTGTGACTGGTGGTCTCAGAGGGCTGGCAAGTGCAGTTTCGTGCTCACGAAGGTGAGCACTTGGACATAGCCCAGCTCTGTCCTAACTAGACAAACACCCAGGAAATGCGGCTCTGAAATGTGGACGGTGGCTGACGGCAGCCATGGAAACAAGGGTCATGGAGTGGGCCACCACGCTGCATCCCACGACAGGCACGGTGTCTACAAGGTCCCCCGGCTTTATTTGCACCAACATTTTTTCTTTTCTTTTTTTTTGGTTTTTTGAAACAAGGATTCTCTGTAGCTTTGGAGCCTGTCCTGGAACAAGCTCTTGTAGACCAGGCTGGCCTTGAACTCAGAGATCCGCCTGCCAGTGCTGGGATTAAACGGATGCACCACCACTGCCCGACTATTTGTATTCACCTTTAAATCTGAATTTTCTCTTCATTGGCAGTTTAACATATGTTTATGATACATAATGTGGTGTCTGATTAACATAAATAAACAAGTTTCTGTATCCCAAAAGAAAGTAGACATGGAAAGGACACCCAACATGGAAGAGATTGCCTGCCAGCTATTCATCTGACAGGGGCTAATTTACAAATGCTAGGAAATCACAGGACTCAACGATGAAGGATCCCAATAGATCCTATTTAAAAACATATGAATTAATAATAACATGTCTCAAGAGGATACACAAATAGTCAACAAGTATATGCAAACACTCAAAATTACTAATCATCAGAGAAATGCCAATCAAAACCATAATGAGGCACCTGCCCACACCAGTTAGAATGACAATTCTTAAAACAGCAAAATAAATGCTGGTGACGGAGAGAAAGGGGAACTCTCATAGACTGTTGATACAAATTACCAAAGAGAAGAGCAGCCCTGAGGTTCCTGAAAAAATACAAACAGAATTACCATATGACCCAGCAAGGCTGCTAATGCATATATATCCAAAGGAACTGAAATCACTGTTTAAGGAGCAGGATTCACAGTAACCGAGACAAAGAATCACCCTAGTGTCCACTGACACATGACTTATACGTTATATATATATGGAAAATACGTTATATATGATCCAGCAACAAAACTAATGAAACGCTGTCATTTTGAGCAATAACGATGGAACCATAGGTTATGAGAAAGAAGTAAAAATAGTAAGACAAAATCATGTTCTAAATTACATGTAGAAATGAAAAGGCAGAAGCCAGGTGGTGGTGGCACACGCCTTTAATCCTAGCACTTGGGAGGGAGAGGCAGGTGGATCTCTGTGAGTTCGAGACCAACCTGGTCTACAAGAGCTAGTTATAGGACAGGCACCAAAGCTACAGAAAAACCCTGTCTCGAAAAACCAAAGAAAAGAAAAAAAAAGAAAAGAAAAGGTGGGTCTCAGTAAAGAAGTAGATAAATAAGAGGGTCGAGAATATACGGCTATGGGTCCAGGAAGACAGCTGGAAAGGAGGAGGAACTTTTATTGCTCATGGCACAGTGGTATATTACTGTGGTTGACAACAGTTCATTGACAACCTCAGAGAACAGGCAAACGTTTGAGGTAATGGTCACCAAGGCCCTTACATCACAGATATGTAAAGTATCACACAGCACCTCTTAAGTACATACAATTACTGTGTCAATTAAAAATAAATTTAACCAGATGTGCTGGCACTCACCTTTAATCCCAGTGCTGTACAGGCAGAGGCAGGCGGATCTCTGTGAGTTCAAAACCAGCCTGGTCTACAAAGCCAGACAGAGCTACTAGTAAGATCCTGTCTCAAAGAACAAAAACAAGAAAACAAAGAGAAATCTACCTTAGTCATCTGAAGATTCTGCAGCTGCTGCTGCCAGTTGAGAACAGTTTCCAAGCGGCAGATCCAAATGTTGATGTTTCCCACTAGCACTGACTTCCCCACCCCTCGGACGAGGATGCAGAGGGTAGAACTCAAGTCCTGGAGAAGGTCTTTGATGAGGCGAGGGTTCTGATGGTCATCAAGAACTGAAACAAATACCAACAAGCCACAGATTGACAGAGCAAAGACCACATCTCACAGTGTCCATCAACTGAAGATCCCTTCACACACCGGAGAACTAGAGTGTAGTAGAGAAGTAGAGGAGGAAGGAAATTCTGACCTGCCCCGTGTGGAGGACCCTTGCAGGAGCCGACCTGGAAGGAGCCAACTACAGAAGGATGAACAGTATAATCCGCATGCAGCAAGTCTCTAGAGTCTGCAGACAAAGACGTACTGATGGGACAGAGGATGTGGCTGGCAAGTGGGGAGCTTGTGTTTGAGGGGTGCAGAGTGTTAGGGCAGCAGCTCTAGAGACGGCAGTTATGGCTGCACAATGGACAAGCACTCAGTGCTTTGAACAGTGTACTGAGAATCAATGAAAATGATAAATTTTATGTCATATATATTTTTATTACATTAAAAACTAAGGATCTAATTTCATGGCAATTTAAAAGAGGCATAATTGTTTAGACATCAGAACTATTAATAAGAGTTTTTAAAGTTTTTTGTTTTTTGTTTTTCAAGACAGGACTTCTCTGTAGCTTTGGAGCCCGAAACTCACTCTGTAGACCAGGCTGGCTTTGAACTCACAGGGATTTGCCTGCTTCTGCCTCCCGAGTTCTGGGATTAAAGGCATGCGCTACCACCACCTGGCAAGTTTTTAAAGTTTTAAAATCCTTTCTGCCTAAATTTTTGGTTGGGTCTACAATTTGAAAGTAGTCAGTGTACAATTTCTCTTGTACTTATGATAAGGAGAATATTTAAAATGGCTTAAATACATGGTCACAAATTGTAGAAATAGGAGCGGCGGGCTACATTCCTGGCACCCGGCCGCCCACATGGCTAACTTTACCCGAAATAATTACACGGAAACTATATTCTTTTAAACACTGCCTGGCCCATTAGTTTTAGCCTCTTATTGGCTAGCTCTTACATATTGATTTAACCCATTTTTAATAATCTGTGTTGTCCACAAGGTGACTTCCCAGGGAAGATCTTAACCTGCGACTGTCTGGAGTGGGAGAATCATGGCGACTCACTGATCAGCTTTCTTTCTCCCAGCATTCTGTCTTGTTTACTCCACCCACCTAAGGGTTGGCCTATCAAATGGGTCTAGGCAGTTTGTTTATTAATTAACCAATGAAAGCAACAGATTAGAAAGAAATCACTCCCACATCATTAACAAATTACTGGAAGTGTATAAGTAAGTTGTATAAAAAGTTCCTTTTTCTAATAGCCACTAATTGGAAAAATAAGTTTATTAAATTAAAAGGAAAATTATGACTCATGTGGTACTTAAGTGAAAAAGCTGCAATCTTACTGATTCTAGAACCCAATGGTCCAGTGAACTGTGAAAGAACGAAGTATCTTTGTAGGACTGGGTCTGGGGCAAGCTCTCTCCCTTGAGCACATCTGCACACTTAGAAGGCTGGAGGGTCATCTTCTGCCTGCTACCACAGTGTGCACAGTATTATCTGTGAATGTACACACTGTGGAAAGATGATAGGAAAAAGCCCCTCTCCTTGTAACAAATCTCCAGTTAACATTTAGACTTACAATTTCTGGTGTTGCTCATGCAAGAATGGCATGACTATCTTTTGGGGATAACCAACTCTTTTCTGATTTGAATTTTGTATTTGAACGCTTGTTCCACGGCAAAGGATACATGCATGGTGCTGTAAACCTGTCCAAAAGCCTGTGGCTAGGGAGGCAATAAGCCCTGGGTAGGGAACCCGCTACTGCTGTTTAGCTAAATGGACATGCCAAACTGTTTCCTAATATTTTGTTTACAGCCCTTGCCCAGTGCTGCTCTCAGCCTTGGTGGAAGAAGCTTATGCAGTGGGCGGAATTAGTATAGAGACTCTTCACCAGCCACATGATGAAAACATGTGACTAAGTGCTCAAACCTAAATGAAAAGAGCCTAAGACCCCAGAGGATGGGAAAGTGTGCTATGAAATGCTGCCTTGTGGATAAGTGTTCACACCCCTGCTATGAACACACGTCATGAACACACAGCAGCTATCCTGGATAAGTGTTCACACCACTGCATGAACACATGTCATGGACACACAGCAGCTATCCTGAATAAACCATACCCCTGCTATGAACACACGTCATGAACACACAGCAGCTATCCTGAATAAGTGTTCACACCACTGCATGAACACATGTCATGGACACACAGCAGCTATCCTGGATAAGTGTTCACACCACTGCATGAACACATGTCATGGACACACAGCAGCTATCCTGAATAAACCATGCCCCTGCTATGAATACACAGCAGCTATCCTGAATAAACCACGCCCCTGCTATGAACACATGTCATGGACACACAGCAGCTATCCCGGAATAAACCACGCCCCTGCTATGAACATAAGTGATGGACACACAGCAGCTATCCTGGAAAAGCCACGCCCCTGCTATGAACACATGTCATGAACACACAGCAGCTATGGCTACCTACCTAAGGAGAAGGGAGACTAGTTGGGAAGAAGGGATCAGCAGGTGACTTAGGGTCACTGTTACCAAAGCAACTTGGGGAGAAGAGGGTTCACTTATGCTTATATCTCTAAGGTGACACCCATCACTGAAAGAACTCAGAGCAGGAACTTGGAGACAGGAGCTGATGCAGAGGCCATGGAGGGTGCTGCTTATGGGCTTGCTCTCCATGGCTTTTGTTCCTCATGGCTTATCCAGTCTAGTTTCTTATAGAACCCAGGACCACCAGTCCAAGGATGGCACCATCCACAATGGGCTCCCCCATCAATCGCTAATTAAGAAAATGCCCTGTGGGCTGTGTACAGCTTGATGGTATGGAGGCTTTTTCTCAGTTGAGGTTCCCTCCTCTCAGATGACTGATATAAAGCCCTCCAGCACAGCAGGGGTGGGAGAAGGTAACAGAAGCAAATACAACCCAACATGACATGGACCTGTCAAAAAGCAGTGATGGCTTCCCAATCCTATGAACACACTGCATTAAAAATACAGAGCTGTGTAAATGGCCTAGTTGTAAACTATGTGACTTATTTATCAATGAATATTTTATTTAAAAAACACTGCAAATGTTGAGAAATAACCTTACCCTTTTGGACAATCTTATCCAAAATGTTGAAGTAGTTCTTCTGCGCCACTCCGCTCAGGGAGGTTAACTGGGACTTGGCAATCAGCTGCAGCAGCTTCAAGATAAGAAGGGAAAGGCTAAGCTGTGAGTCTGTTTCCAACGGAAACACCACGGTCACATACTGGAGCAGTGTGAAATGGGCTGACGTGTGGCGCCCTATATAAGGCGGTTACAGAAAGACTACCTGAGCTGAGGGGACCTTACTCTGGCTGCTAAGGCTGGAGCCAGCCTGCTTTCCACTCCACACAAGAATCTCCACAGGCCGGCTGCAGGCCAGTGAGATGACTGAACAAACGCTCAGCCTTCTAACCTTGCACCTTACATCAGCAGGGAGCAGCAGAGCATCCTGGTCACCAATAGACTTTCCTCACCCTCCTTCAGGCTTTGATCCACTGTCTAAAGCCAACAGATAATCAAGAAATCAACAGGCCCTCCCTTCCGTGTAGAAATGTAAAAAGATCACATGTAATCTCTTAAAACACAATTCAAACACAGTGTAGAAAACCTAGGAACCAAGAGCGATCGCTGCACTGGAATCTAAGCGATGCCAGCCTTGCTGATAAAGAGGGGGATCTCATCCTGATGCCTGGCCTCCCCCAGCCCTGCTACAGACTGACCTGTTGGCACTGCTGAGGACTGTGTCCCTCAGTGCCTCTTGTTCCTCTCGGTTTGGTTTATATTTTCCTCTGTATCTTTCCCATCCTTCCATTCCCAACTGCAGATCTCTACATCCGGGTTATGTGTGTATAACCTGGAGTTCAGCTGTGCTCTTTGACCCATCAGAGAAGCATTTACTGACATAATAAGGTTTGGTCTTAATTCGGACATGTTTTTATAAGCAAAAAACGACAACATAACTCCTCGCTCTTTCCCCATAGTTCCTTCAGAACTTAGGTGGACTTACATTCTTCCGCCCCAATACTTTTGTAACTGGGGCTCTACATCACTCTCTCACCCTCTCGGGCCTCAGAGGAGACATCCAGCTGCCAGTGGCCTGTGCTAAGTCATGATAAACCCACCAACTCCTCTTCTCCCCTCCTTCCCACTGCTCCATTTTAGGGAACAACATTTGCAATTACAGGTAGAGCAGTCAGCTCGCGGTCTCTCTTCACCACTCTCTGGTGCAGCTGGCCACACTACTTCTCTATCCCCAGGGTCTAGGGCACTCAGCCCATTCTGCTTGTCCACCCTGGTCCACAGTTTGCTATCATCTTAGACCAAGACTGAATCATGAAGAAACAACCTCAACAGACGTGCAATGCGTGCAATGGACAGTAAGACTGAAGCCATGACGAAGGCGCTCGTGAAAACCCCAGGACCAAACGGCTTCGCTGCTGAATTCTACCGAACATTTAGAGAACCCATTTCTTCTCAAACTATTCCAAGAAGGGGAAGGAATTCTTCTCAATGCACACCATGGGGCTAGCGGTCTCAATACCAAGAGCAAATCAGGACACCGCAACAAAGCATGACAGGACAAAATCCATGATTTGAAAAACACAAACAAACAAAAAGCAGATGCTAAAATCTGTTCGCTTGCCCAATTCCAGGAAACAGAAACCAACTGCACATCAAGATAACTCACCAGCACGTGAGAGTCATTTCAAGACAGTTCAACATAGGCTGACACGTGAGCCTTACACGCATCAATGGTGGAGGAAACCGGCCTATCATCTCAAGAGACATGAAATCAAAACCAACCTGTTATGATAACAAATGCAGAAGGGACAAACGGAGTAAAGTTGGACACAGAAGCAAGCCCAGGGCTGCCACCACAGTGAACAGGGAATGCAGAAGCTCACTGCACTCTGAAACAAGACACTTCACCTTTCTATTTCAAACAGAGCCTCATCCCTTACGCTGCTTCTGCCAGAGGACTTCATCAGAGTGACAGGAGACTTCACCTGGCTGGCAGGGCTAGGCTAATCGTATTTTGGACAAGTGTAAGTACCAACTCTATTAAAAACGCTTGTTGTTTAGAAACAAAGGAAGTCACTTCTACTTTGTAAAAAAGATTCTTTACAGAAGTATTTGAGAGCTGGTAGAAACAGTTCTGTTAGAACTGGCCTGTGTCTTCCTGGATGCCAAAGTCAACACTTGAACAAGCCAGAGTGAATCTCGATTGGTTCCATCACCAGAGCAGGGTCACCCAGACAGATGCTCTCAAGAGCTCAGGAAATAGTACCCAATGTCTACTGGGCACAAGAAGAACTGTGACCGCTTCTCCTGCCATCTGCCAGTCGTCTAGAATCCTATCACACATCATACCAGCTGAGGCCAAGAGCAATTTATCTCTGGCCTGTGTCAACACCTTGAAACACCTAGAAGGCAGTAAGGGTCTCTGAGCACCACTAGAAGGAGGGCATGCAGGTGTGAAGACCCTACTCGTGTGTTACGTAAGCAAGGCTAGTAGGTGTGAAGACCCCACTTGGGCTTTACATACAATGCAGAGAAGGGAATGAGCCACAACAGCAAACTCTATACAGCAATGATCTTTTCCTTCCAAACGTATCCCAAAACAGAAACTTCTGACAAATATCAGTAATGCATCAAGACTCTTGTGGACCTCTACTTAATGCAGAATTTCTCTTGTCTGTTAGTCAGTTGTTCCTTTGTATCTAATAAGGCTCATTCTAAGTGAATGTGTGCAGTAGAAAATGCAGATGGAGTCACTGGGGTCCTCCTGAGCTCAACTGTCTGAGGTGTTCCCCAGAAAGAGGCTCTGGAACATCCCAGTTCCCATGGCCTCTGGGCAGGAAGGTCTCACCAATCCTGAGACTTGCAACTGAGACCTCGGTGTTGCAAGCCCCACGTCTTCTCACGCGCTTGCCCCTTTCCTTCTCACAGGAAACAGGAGAACCTTCATGCAGCGGCCACAGCACCGTGCCTACCTCACATCTGGAACCTGCAGGACAGTTATTCAACAGAACACTGCTTCTGAAACAGCCACTTACTTTGACAACGTAGGTGAACCTCCTGATATCCTGGATTGCACTTGAGAAGTCTAGCCGGTTGAAGGCTTCTCCCAGGGTACAGTAGCCATGCCTCTAGAAAAAAAAGACAAGCAGTGAGCTCAACCAGCCAAGTAAAATGGGCTAACAGGTGATGCTGGCTAGGGAGCATAGATGGCACTGTATTGGTTCTAAAGACTGACGTCAGATAGAAATGAGAATAAGGTACAATTGTGTGCAACTGAGACGCGAGGCACTGACACTTTGCTCACACTGCTGGTATAACGACAAAGAGAAGTTCAAGAAACACCATTCTGCTTTCTGCTTCTGGGGACAAGGTGGGGTGAACACGAGGCCACAGGGTGCAGGTGTTGGACACCAGCGGTGTGTCTCCACAGGGAGTTCTGACAGCCCTGGGGGAAGTGTGCTCAACCACCAACAAGTAGCCTTAGAGGGGCAGCTCTAAGAAACAGCTATACCGATGGCTGAGGCTCCATGACCCAAGTCTAACAACGGCTGGTTTCCAGACTGGCACCATGGGAGCGGAGCAGCCGAAAAGTCAACTGCTACAATGAGATGCACAGATCTGGGAACCAAAAAGGAGACACAATTTCTCCTCAGGGTCATAAATATTGCTGCTCTGTCTGAGAGGTCTTCTGTCTTCTGTATCAGTCTGTACAGACTTGAGCTCGGGTCAGGAAGGATCTTAAGCCCTACCTTCTGCATCTGAAATACCTAAATCTATGCGTGGATTTTCAGCTCAGAGTCACGGCGCAGATAAACTAGAAGACAGTAAGGAACCACAAGATTCCTTGTGACAAGTGATTCTGAGTACGAAACCAGTTAGTGGGGCTGCGGAAGAGCAGCAGAGACAGCAATGTCTGCTGGCCCCGTGGGGAAACCACACAACTCTTACAGTCCTAACGTGTACAACCCAGTTACACATTCACACAGAACATCAATACCCATGCTTTCTAAGCATTCGCTACAGTAAAACACCGCTGTGAGCTGTGGGGAAGCAAAGCTTAGAGCGTGTGTGCACACACGCACTGAATAAATAAGTATGGTAAATTGAAAAAATAAGGATATTATTAACATTTCTGGAACACTTAACTAATCCTAACCTCATAATTATGTAATACGAAATTGCACTATTAGTTTCTTTTTCCCAACAGCTGTAAAATAAAGCAAATGCAGATGTTCTAGGTCTATAAAAGGAACTAGGTTTACTTAAAACTAAGTAGAGAAACAAGAAACACAGTGTAGCCAACTGCTTTGTGGGATGACTCAGAAGACAGCTCCGGTCAGCTTGGCGATCAGAAGCAGAGAAAACATCCACACTGTCCTGCAGAGCCGACCTGGGTGGTTTTCTAGGGGCCGCTATGCATTTTGGAAGGAGAGGCTCATGGGCATCTTAGTCCCCAAGCACACGAGGTAAAGGGAAAACTTCACCCGCAGCTGCAGTTCACACTGCCAGAAGATGGATCAAATACACAGGGATGTATGCTTGGTTTTAATGAACCCCTGCTGATTTAAAGATGCATGGGGATCAAAAGTACACACACATCCAAACTCATGGACCACACCCACTACAAACACCACAACCATACACATGTGTGAGGCACACATAGTCCATGCATAACAGATTACAAACATATCACATATGTAGAACATATTATGTGCATTTATTCCACACACATTATATTAACATGCCATATACCACACACATATCACATATATGTGACATATTATATTATATATCAAACACATTCCATGTATGCTACATATACAAATATACAACATAGCACTCACAGGTATACAGCATATGCCATGTATATATGCACACACCATACACATGCAAATATACATATCCATCATATTACACACTTACCACACAGATTACAGAACACAAACATACTACATGCACTATATACCACAAATACATCTAACACCACACATGCTTATACCACACATACCCAGTGCGCAGTCATGCACATATCAATGAATACATACTGTACATGCACATAATTATAGCCACTGATTCAAAAAGCTGTCACATACATATTCATCTGTTCGAATGTGAGCTATAGACTCACTATAGCGTTACTGAAGAACTAAACTAATGGACATATTCAGCACAAACAATACAGCACACTCTTCTAAAGCATACTTACTTCTTTTGTGCTTTCTTTATGAACATAGATCCATTTCTCACGATAAAAACCTAGAACAAAGACGAAACCCTTGAAATCTGGCAAATCCTTTCAACCTCAAGATGTTGAGGAAACTGGAAGGCAGGACAGACTAACAAGATGACCTCACTGCTCCAACCAAGAGGTGCTTCTGCTTGGTGAGTGTACGCAGTACACTTTGTTCCCTAACATCACCTTGTTGGGGACTGCAGACCACCAGACACTGAATTTCCTGTAAACCATTTGTTTTCCTCTGCTCTGAGCAGCCTGCAGCTGCTGTGACCACAAGACCCTGACGGCAGGGGAGTGGTTTCTGGTGGACCTGCAGCTGAAAGATCCCGAGAGCTGGGGCATGGCCAGAGCCCTATATAAGTTGACAATAAAGGAAGCATTCTTGTTTCAAGGATGACCCGTGTCTCTGTGTGTTTAAATCTCCAGGCCCCTTTCCCAGCTCATGAATCATAGTAGCGCGTAGCACATACAGTGAAGGGCAGGCGCTACATTCCCTAACTGCTCAGACACCTCTATGTGAAAAAAAATTGATAGTAACACATCTTATTAACTTAGAAGAAAAGTGTTATATCAAATATACATGCTTATAAAATTCTGTAATATTATCTCTATATCATTACACACCTAACAGAAGGTCCTGGTCTTTTATTAGCTGTTATGGCCACACGTGGCACACATAACTAAGATCATGAAGCCTCTCCTTGTGTCTGCCTTCTTCACATCCTAGCAGGTATTCACAGCATGGGCCAAGGTGGACAGGGCTGTGACAGAAGCCACAGACTCCTCACGCCCTCCACCCCTCGTCCTAGTCCTGCCCACTTCTGGCTCCTGTCCATACTCCCCAGTAACCCCATATGTAAACCGACCCTCCTAGGGGCCTTTCTGTCTAGGAGGCGCTCAGTTGGGGGCAGCATCCTCAGATGCAGAGGCGTGCTTCAGGCCTGCCATCTTTGATTGTCTAGACCTTACCAACAGCGAGCTGAGTGACAGGCAGTCTGCTTCCCAGAGAAACAGGCAACACTGAGCGCAGAGCTTGTCCGCACACCTCCATCACCCTCGTTAGAGAGCACTGCCAAGCAATCCAATACAGCAACATCAATATCCCACAAATAAGATGATAAAACCAACGAAAGCACTCTTACTGTGAGCAGCTGTGTCATTTCCGAAATGCTCCTTCTTCCTCTTCTTGGCTGCATACTCACACTCGCTGTTGAATATTTCTTCTTCGCCATTATTTAAGATACTGAAATAAAGATAGTTCATTAAAATGGGTGGTGGTGGTGCACACCTTTAATCCCAGCACTCGGGAGGCAGAGGCAGGTGGATCTCTGTGAGTCCGAGGCCAGCCTGGTCTACAAGAGCTAGTTCCAGGACAGGCTCCAAAGCTACAGAGAAATCCTGTCTCAGAAAACAAAACTAAACAAATGAACAAAACAAACAGTTCATTAAAGTAAGTTTTTCATGGAGAACTTCATTTAGCTTTTCTTTGGTAAGAAAGTAAGTATTCGCTTAGTAATCTGGGGATCAAAATAAAGACCCTGGTAAATCCTGGTGAGGACTGGCTACACTCAAGGATAATAGCTACATTCTCTTTTCATTCTGAAGGAACTAAGATTTATTCTTCCTTTTACAAATGTTCCTCCAGAAACCAGCCATGCTTTAGACTTTCCAAACATCAGAACGGTTTGAAGCCTGAACATTATAAACAAAACCATAAAAGCACTGAACCCTAGTAGCAATATGACTACGGGGCTGACACTTGCTGTGTCCCTCATCAAAGCTGAGCGAACATAACGCCCCTGTTTGTCACCTATGTTTTCCAGATGTTTAGCTCCAGATGTTTAGCTCCAGCTCTCTCTTGCTGCACTGCGCCTTTTCTCGATAAGCTTCTATCAAATACGCTGAGAAACCAGCAAGTGAAAGTTACATTTGTGATATTTAAACACAGTTAAAGTACTTTAGTATTTTTTCCCATTTTTATGAGACAAGGAATTCAAATCAAGCAATAGCAGCTCAAATATCTTTTCTTTAGTTTTTTTTCTTTTCTTTTTTTTTTTCCTCTTTGTAATAAAAACTATTCCTGCCTGGTCTACAGAGTTGAGTTCCAGGACAGCCAGGGCTACACAGAGGCACCCTGTCTCAAAACAAATCAAAGACAGAAATAAAAGAAAAGAAAAAGACAGACAGAAAGAAAAGAAAAAGTATAAAAAATAGTCCACAACCTAAACACTAAATATGCTTTTGTTTGTTTGTTGGGTTTTTTGTTTGTTTTTTTTTTTTGGAGGGGGCACACTTAAAAGCTAGTTTTCAGCCAATCATTGATTTTATTAAAGGGTTTTGAATTTTTTAATTTATTCATTTTTATTTTATGTGCATTGATGTTTTGCCGTGGGTGTCGAGACCCCTGGAACTGGAGTTACAGACAGCTGTGAGTTGAACCCAGGTCCTCTGGAAGAGCAGTTAGTGCTCTTAACCAGTGAGCCATCTCTCCAGCTCTCCATCACTGTTCTTTGATGAGAAAATTGGGTAAAAATTGCTTTTATCCGCCACCAGCGTGCACTTTTCATAAAAGAGCTGAGTTTACCACAGAAGTCTGCTCACAGCTGCCACAGTTAAACAGCACAGGCACTGCAGTAAGTCCTCCAGACAGCCAGGGGGCATCCAAATCTCACAACTGCATCCTCTCAGGCACCTAGGGACCCAACTCCCGAACACAGATCCCTGAATCTTACAATCCCATAGTCACTCTTATCCTAGCCTGTTATCATTGACTCAGACACTAGATGGAGACACTTCTGAATCAGAAAAAGCTTTAGCTAAAATCACAAACTTATCAAAGGAAAAATGATCTGCCTATACCTCCTGCCTAGGTACTGGTCATTTACCTTCTTATTAAACCAATCACAATGACATATCTTCACACAGTGTAATCAAATACCTCACAACAGCAAATTATTAACCAGTTGCTATTTTTATGAGGTATTTTAAGGTAGGAAGGTCATACTTTGGGGTGATAATTTTTATACTGTCAGATATACAAAAATGTAAAACTGACAGGAAAAAATGCTTACAGGATTAAAATTTAACATGTGCGAATTTAATAAAAGCATTAATAGTGTACAAACCTTTCCGTGTTTCATGCAAATAAACTTAGTCAACTGCATTTCAGAGCAAACACTTCCTATTTTATGGCCTTTGGTCTTATGAGCAATACAAATATTCCATATCCTGCTTGAAAAACAAAAGAATCTTCTATAATAAATCCCCCAAAGAAGAGGCAGAGAACTTTAATTTGTACAAGGAAGAAATGTAAACTGGCTAAGAATGTATGAAAATGTGTACAACCTCATTAATTCTTAGGGAAATGCAAGCAAAAACTGCCCTAATACTTCACCCTCCTTAACATGGCTGGTCCAAAAGTGCAGGAAGTAAGTGTTGGCGAGGATGTAGAAAACGAGGACCCTCATGCACTGGCGGTGGAAATATAAAACGGCGCAGCCAGCGAGAAAGGGAGTAGTAAACCCTTAAATACTGAGCCGATTACCGTCTGAGCAGAAAGAAATGAAAGCGGGTCTAAAGAGACGCGCACGCTCTGGCATCCGTGACAGCCCAGTCACAACAGTGATGTGCCTAGGCAATCCCCACGTCTATCAACAACTGCACACATAAACAAAACACAACCAATTCAGACAACAAAACAGTCAGGCTTAAAAAACCAAGGGCTTTTACCAGTACATGCTGAATGCACACACATCTGAGGACATTATTATAAAAGAAATAATCTCGTCACAAAAGGGCAAACAGAGATCACGAGTGGTATTAAGAGTTTGAGGACAGCGATGGAGTTAATATTTACTGAGGTCAAGGCATGCAGGTATGTTTTAGATGCAAGCCTGGTGCTAGAGAGATGCTTCAGTGGCTAAGAGCACTTGCTATACAAGCAGGGAGGCCTGAGTTCAAATCCTCAGCATCCATGTGAAAGCCCGGTATGGCTGAATGTCCCTTGTCCCTGTAATCATGACTGCTGATGGAGACAGAAATCTGCTCGCCACAGTTAAACATCACAGGAGCAGTCTGGACAGCAGGCCTAGCCAAATTCGTGAGCACAACTGTAAGTGACAGAGCTCTGCAGTGACCCTGACAACCTCACTGAGACGCACATGCTGTGGTTGAGGGTGTACTGGTTACTCTCGTTTCGGAGCTCTTGGCTACAGGAATCACATCTTTTCCACCCATCCTCAGTTTTAATCCAGCTCCATCCAGGGGATCTCCAGTCCTGACCCAGAAATGGCATAGTTCTCCTGTTTAAAAAAAAAAGTTTACATTAAAAGTATATATATACATAATGAACACAAATTTCTTCTGACTGGATGGTGGTGATGCACTCGGGAGCCAGAGGAAGGCAGATCTCTGAGTTTGAGGCCAGCCTGGTCTACAAGGTGAGTTCCAGGACAGCCAGGGCTACACAAAGAGACCCTGTCACAAAAAAAAAAAAAAAGGAAAACAAACATAAAGCGGTAACTAGGTTAAGCATAGGTCCGTCGTACTGTGCTCTGGTTGTACTAAAGTGATAACCAGGTTAAGCACAGGTGGGTCTTACTGCACGATAATGTGTGGTGAAAGGTTTACCCCAGACAACACCTGCATTTGAATCAGAAGAAGCGAGCAAGCTGAGGAATACCACTCCAAACAGCTTTCTCCCACCTCCCACCCGTTCCAGAAGTAGGAGGCGACGTAACTGAGCCCACCTGACTCCAGAGAGACCACTGTGGTGAGAGCACGGAAAATGAAAATGGAATATGGTCGGCAAAGGCGGGGAGGATGATGCCCAGATGAAGAAAAGGGTTGGGCTTCATCCTAAGAACAACCAGGAGCCAAGAAACCAGGAGGCAAACGATTTGATCAGACTTTGGCATTACAGGGTGTACAGGCAGTGGACCTTCAGAGGACTGGAGGTGCAGCCTCAGCCTCACTGAAGCCAGAAGGCAAAATGCTGCCATGCAGGTGGTGCCAGCAACCAAACCTGGGTCTTTGGCAAGAGCAGCGAGTACTCTTAGCAGGGAGCAAGCGCTAAGGAGGTATTCAGCAGCACAGCAGTGTTGGGAGGGGCAAGAGAAGGGATGCTGGGTCCAAAGACAGAGAATGCTAAGAACAGATATTCGTGTTTACAAAGTCAAGTTGCCAACTCTTGTTACAAAGGCTCCATGCGAACAGCTCCCTTCTGACCTCTCCACCCCATGAACCAGTCTCTGCCACCGTCCAGTATCTGAAATTACTTATGTACTCAACATTAATTTTCCTCCAAGATAATCACAATGTCTTATTCTGTTGTAGTCCCATTGCCCAGTCTAGAAAGATAACTTTCTAGGATCTGTAGCGTAAAATTAAAAGGGAGAACAAAAAAGAAAAGTAACTCCTGAGCTTACAGTTCCTCATCCATGTCTTACATAGACCCGTGTCCTCAGCTAACAAATGTCTTCATAAGATGCAAACCCTGCACTAACCTAGGAAGCCACTCCCTGCTAGGTATATTTATTTATCTTTTAGCTTAAAAAATTTAATAGCGTTTATAAGAAGAGCCGCTGTGGCATTTCTCATTACGTTGTTGTCAACCCTATGCGTATTGTGACTCACTGACTGAACTATTTGGTGAGAAAATAGTTTGGTATAATATAACTAACCCTTTCAAGCTGAGGCTCGGTAGCAAGTAAACTAGAGAAATACGAAAATAAAACCCTTACGTCCCAGATTTTACAACCTAGAGGAAAATGTTTGTTTCAAGATTTATTTCAGACTTGACAGGGCAATCTTGGGATCTCTGTCTTAGTTCACTGTTCCAGAATCTACATAGCTCATAAACTAAGGCACAGGTTCTAGAAGCGATTTATTGGTAAAAAGCAACAACGGGCCACTAGGATATAGGTCAGTAGTACAGCACCTGCCTAGCGCTCATGAGACCCTGGGTTCAGTCCCAAGCACCACTTCAAAACAAAAGTCACTGGGGCTAGGCATAGCAGCATATACCTGTCCGCCTGTCCACCTGTCCGCCTGTAATCGTGGCACTCGAGTATCTGAGGTAAGAATTCAAGACCAACCTGGGCTCCAGAGCAAAACCCTTCATATAAAACAGAAGACAAGCTGCAGTTTAAAAGGTCATATATCATTAAATTCAATGTGAAGCATCTGGTTTTGTGTACCAGAAAATAATGTTACTAGACGATTTTAAACAATGACACCCCACTTTTGTTTTGTTTCGTGTAGCCTTGGCTGTCCTGAAACTCACTCTGTAGATCAGGTGACAACCCACTTTATACAGGAATTTATCTACTTGGATAAAAGACATGAATTGCTCGAATTTCATTAATATATTTAAAATTAAAATTACCTTTATTTTGAGACTTTGCAAATGCTAAAGGAAGTCTAGTTTCTTTTCTGTTTTTTGGTAAAACATGTTGGTAGGAAAGGGTTTGTTTCATCCAGGGGCGGCAGGGGAGGAACTCAGCAGAAATCACAGAAGAATTCTACTTAAGGCTTTGCAACGTGTGCCTTGCTAAGCCAGCTGTTTTCAGACAGCTCAGTCCCGCCTGCCGAGGGTTGTACAACCCCACAGCACACTGGGCCATCCTACAGCAAGTAGCAACCGAGAAAACAGCCAACCTCTGGGCGTTAATCCTCAGCCGAGGTTCCCTCTTCTCAGGTGTGCCAAGCCGACACCAAGATTAGCCAGCACATAAAGTAAAAACCATAAAACAGTTCTGAAAAATTAACATATGTGTATGAGTAACGTCTCAAAGTCTACTCAGCCGTGACACAGCTTGTATAACCTGCATGTATTTTTTGATATATTTACTTTCATTTTACGTGTATATGTGTATCTTCCCTGTATGCACGGAAGTAAGCGCACCGCGTTCTGCAGTCCCCAGTAAAGGTCAGACAGAGGTGTCATTTTCTCTTGTAACTGGAGTTACAAACAGTACAAACAGTTGGGAGCCACCTTGTGGGTGCTGGGAACCTAACCGGGTCCTCTAGAGCAGCAAGAGTTCTTGACCGCTGGGCCATCCATCCAGTCCCCATGTGCACTAGACTTTAAGCGCAGTAATTGCTAACTAACGCCAGAAAGCACTTGGGCTGCACACCTTTGTCTTTTCTGGGTTTCTGTTTCACGTGGTAAAACACGAAGGTGGGGTACTGCAGGAGAACAGGATGAATTCTTCAAATTCATCTCCTAGTAGAATCTCCTAAGACCAAAGAGCCTGAACTAAGCAAAAAACATGCCTTCTTCTTCTTCAACAAGCATGGGTGTTCCTAATAAATGAAACACCAACAACAAAAACCAGAACTCAGAATGGGCTCGGCACTAACTGAATGAGTCACGCGAATGACACCCAGTTTGGTCCGCACACTAACCTGTAAAGAGGGGAATATCCTCATTTTACAAACTTAATTCTCCATTTCAAGGCTCAGTGGTCGAGCACTTGCCTAGCACACCCGAGGCCCCGTGTTCACCCATCATATCACAAACAAAAACTATTTTATACATGAGAGTACAGAAGCAAAGAATTCAGCAGGGCAGAACTCAAAATTATGGACTCTGATTCCACAGTCCATGCTCTTAGCCACTATATTTACAGGAATCCTAACAGCCTATTAAGACAAATTCCAGGAAATTACAGGTTTGGGCGTTTGTTGTTGTTTGTCTTTTTGTTTTTTTACTTTACATGTGTGATGTTCTATTTTCAAATTACAAGAAAAAATAATTAGACCATACATCAGTTACGTTTTTCTTCAAAGCAACAAGAGCGTTGAGTGTGTGGCAAGGACACTACAGCAAGTCATAACAAAAACGGAAAGGCGAGAAAAGCTTCCCTTTAAAGTTTCATTTCAAAATCTGAGAAAGATCATCTCCATTGTTCTTGAGCAAGAATGAATGGATGGTCTGGGGCTGGAGAGATGGATCAGAAGCTAGGAGCACCCACTAACTGCTCTTACAGAGGACACCAAGTTTGGCTCCTAGCACTCAGATCAGGTGGCTCACAACTGTTTGTAACTGCAGTCCAACAGGTCCGAGGCCTCTGTTCTTCTTGGGCACTGGTGCACACGCCACACAGGGAATTAACAATACTGAACCCTTTTTTAAAATAGAATGAATAGTCGTCAAGCTAATAAGCATTTAGTTTTGGCGCTGGTCAAGTTTTCTTATAAGATTTTTAAGAAATTTAAAAGAGCTGGGATCAAATGTGAAGTTTGTAAATGTGGGTAAGTTTGAGTCTGAAAGATGGTGAACAAACACACTGCATATTTCAGGCCGAATGTCAGAAATCGGGTTTACCCCCAAGGAGTCCAGGGAGATCATCACAGATGCGCTAGGGACAGCACGCCCCGGAGCAAAGGAAAATGGAAGGAGAACGGTGGGAAATTAAGTCTTGGCGCTGCATGCAGGGCAGAAGGACCCTTCACAGGGACAGCTCTCCAGATGTGCGTTAGGGGGAGTTTGAACAGGCCCAAGGATGGAGATGGAACTCCACTGGAAGAGAGGCAGAAATGAGCTGAGGATAAAGACACCAATCTCTTGTGTCTGACAGCGAACGCACGCGCAGGCCTGAAGGATGCTGCCCTGCCAGGTGTGCTCGGGAGGAGGCACGGACCGGCAGATGACAGGCCGGCGGGGGTGGGGGGCGGGCGCCTGGACCCCGGGAGGTGGGCGAGCGCACAGCCTGCACAGGCCAGCGGGCTGCATAGCGGCCAGCGACGCGCGGGCCGGGAGCGCCCCGCCTGACAGACCCTCCCCAGCCCATCCCGAGTTCCTTCTCACCTGCTGGTCCCTTTCCGACGAGGCAGCCACCAACCTCACCGAGCTGCAGCGTCCAATTATTGCCGGAAGTCGTCCGTCCGCCTCCCGCCGAGGTACACCGCTGGACGCCCCGCCTCGGGGTGTCGTTGATTGGCCGGGGTCGAGCCACGTGATCGTGTTGCTACCCGAGCTCGGAGACCTTCTGCGCGCGTGCGCAGTGGACGCAAGCCCCACCCACCCATCCTTGTCGCCTGTGGGCCGGTGGTGGGACTTTTTGACTCTCCCTGCTGGCGTTGCCCGAGTCGTCTGGCGGAAACCGGTTGGTTAGCCACGGTCTGTGGTCGCCCGCTCAGGATCCACAGACCGCCGGCCTGATGCTAGCAGGGACACCGCCCCGTATACACTCAGACCCCTCACCTCCCTACTCCGTTTTCCAGCCTGCCTAGCGGAGGCCTGGCTTGGGCTCCCCTCCATAGCCTACATGCCAGTGTCTTCTTGCATGTAGCCCTGGGGCTCAAAGAAGGTCTGGCTGACCTACCGCCTAGAATAGCTTTCAATTCCTAGAAAGCTGAAAAGCTCTAGAAAAACAGTGCCAACGGGCGCAATGTTTTCCAAACAGGTGCTGTGGGGTCTGTAGGAAGAAGAGGGCAAGTGGACCACGGAGGATTAGAGGGGCGGGAAGCTAGAGCTTCTGAACCAGGACTGCTGCCCAGGAGGGTTGCTGGGAAAGGTCTCAGCCACCTGTGTGCACCCTTGAGAGCAAAGAGGACTAGGAATGGTTCTTACCCGACAAAATAAGCGCAAAGTATGTACAAGTACCTGGTGTGTAGTAAGCTAAACATCATGTTCAGTTTCAGTCTTTTGAATGATGTGGGTACTCATATTGGGGAAATACTTATGTAAATCATTTCTAATGTGTTTATTCTAGTAGGGGTTTTTCATTACACATTTAAATATAATAGACCAGTTACAGGTGGAAGTCGGCGTTATTCCATCCGCAACGCCTAATTTAGGCACCTGAACCAGTTTAGGGTTTTGGAGACCACTTGACATAGACATGCTTGGGTCTGAGACATGGGTCCCAGACTCAGCTTTCAATCAATAGCACATGGCCTTTCATAGTGAATAGCACACAGTCATATACTTCAGTATTATACAGCAGTAGAATAGAGTAACATCGGAGCACCATAAAGTAGCAGGATCCTGCAGCAGGACACGGATTCCATGAGGTCACAGCAGGAGTCCACAGAGGAAGAACTAGAGCACCAGTGATAGCCTCAGAAGCCAAGAGTGAGGGCAGAAGCTAGAGGCAGTTCTGGGAAATCACCACATGCTGGGTAAGTGTTGCTACAGTCTCTATCTTTGGGAAGATGTGCAGGTTTGGTGCCTCTGCAGTTCAACCTGTGAAAGAAGGGAAGCCGCTTATAGAGATAGGAAAATAGGAAGTTTCCAGGCTGAAGGCATGAGGTCAGAGGGAGCAGCAGGAAGATACATACTCAACAGAGATTGAGGGGGGAAGGGGATACCATGTGTCTTTATTTTCTCCAAAGAAATCCCAATATGGCAGTTGTCAAGAAGCTGGGAAAACTTAACCTGATGGTTGATATCCCTCCCCACAATAATGGTTCAGGATGGTGACAGGTTGGGTGGCTGTTGCCAGGTACAGGTGTCTTGGTGTTCATGCCTCCAGGATGTGGTGTGGTGGTAAGCTAAGGATCTGTGTGCCCTGAGGGTGACTTTGCAACGACCTTTCTTGGCCTTTTTCTTGCACACAGGCTGGTGCACATCCTTGCCCTTGGGGGTTGTACCATCTGGACTCAGATTAGCTTTGTTTTGTTTCCTCTCTGGGACTCAGAGCATAGCGTATTTAATGGAGTCTTTACTCAGCATGCAAAGGTTACATCTTGCCACATTGCATTAATGCTGTGGCAAGAAATAAACCACCCATGTGACCATGACACCTTACCATGGGACGGGAGGGGGTGTCACATTCCATGTGCCTCATACTGGGATTCTTGAGAGATGTCTAGCTAATGACGCCTACTTGAAACCCCATCTAAACAACACACCTGTTCCTGAAATGCCAGGAACAGAAACACGTCTGGATTTCAAGGTCACATCAAATATGGTATCAGCGTTCCCTTGCATTTATGATTGTTCCCATGGTGATGTACTTACCTTGTTACTGTGTTACCTTGAGTGACAAGCAATAAAATAAGGAGCAGAAGATCCTTTGAACTGAAAGGGACCATTGACACAGAGCACAAGCCTATAGCAGAAAAGCTCTTGGCTTAGTGGGTACATAGTACAGGGACAGCAGCCTGCTAAGGGCTGGAGCCTGGACCTCAAATGTGGCTTTCTTCCCTGCATATGCCAGCCGGGTTCTTCCCTGTGGCCACCAATCCCAGAGTGCTAGAGCCTGCTCCTGTCACATGGAGTGTCTTGGCACCTTGGGTTGGGCTTTGTGGCTAAAGTTATTGCTGCTTTTTTTTTTTAATGAGGCCAGAACTTCCTTCAGTGCATATAGAACCCAAGTTCAGTGTGTATGGCGAACAGCATGGAGGAAGGCATTTCTAGCCTGGTAACCAATCCTCCACCTCTAGTCCACAGTCCACTGTCTAAGTACTTTGATCCACCTCTTGTGCACAAGTTAAAATTTAAAAAAAAAGCCAGAAGTCAACAATTTTGTCTTTTTATTTTTGTCTCAAATGTAAAATCCAGTGCATATAGGCAATACAGTCCAGCACTGAAGGCCACTACTGAAGGTCCAGTGTGTCGGGCTAGAGAAGGACAAATACAAAGAGGTGGCTTTGTGACTTCCCTGTTAGAACAATCCAGAATTTTTCCACTCAGTCAGCTGTTCTTGGACCATGCTACTGATGTGGCCTATTCAACCACTATCTGTCTGTCTTTCTATTTTCCTATCTGGACCTTCATCCGTCCATCCACCCACTGATCCATCGATCCATCTGTCTGTTCATTGTCTGTCCATCCATCCTTCTGTTCAATCACTGATCTGTTGATTTGTCCATCTGTTCATTCATCGTCTGTCCACCCATCCACCCGTCCATCTATCTGTTCATCATCCATCCATCCATCCATCCATCCATGCACCCATCCATCCTTCTGTCTGTACATTCATTTGGTCCGGGTCCTTCCCTTTGATCCTGCAGCTAAATTAAACTTTACAGCTCTGCTTCCGGAGCAGCCTGGAGACTCCACAGCAGCAGCTTCTTCGCCACAGCCGGCGTGTTTTATTTTATTATTCAGACAGACTATTCAGTCCACTCCTGAGACCACTTGAAACTTTACAGGAACCTTCTTAACCTTTGGCATACATTGTATAAGCCACCCCACCCCACCACACATATGTACAGTTGTATTTGCTGTGTGATATGCGATGTGAGAGTTAACATTAAGAGTGGAACACGCGATAGTGCTGCAAGCCAGATCACCAAGGTAAGCAGGCTGAAGTAGCAAACTGCTGCCATTGAAACTGTGGCACCTTGTGAATGTCTTGTTCCCCAGTGAATTCCAACCTTGTTGAAAGACGGGATGCTTGTCTATGTTTCTGACACGGCACACTCACAACAGGAGCATGAAGTAACAGCTGCTGTTGGTGACTACCTAATTTTGTGTTTAATGCACCTAAAGCCATTTGCATATCTGATTAGCTTCTGACTGAGGTGGCAGTTCCCTCTAGCCATGAGGAAGAAGAAATATGTGCCAAGATTTAGCTACAAGATCTCTTCAGTTTCTTGGGTTTTATTCCTGCATGATTTTGAGTTAAGCCGTACTTACTCATGTTTAAGGAGAGAACATGCATATGACTGGGTCTGCGCAGAGTACTGATGTCACCATATACTCTGTTCCCTGACCATTGCAGAGCAGTGAGGACATCTTAGGCTCTCCTAATAGCCACCTTGAAGTAGGCAGATGTACACTATGACGGTGCCACACAGATGTGAGGATCTTCTCGAAGTATCCCCACGATATTAAAAAACACACATGAGAAGAGAGTTGGATTTTCTCCAGTGGGACTCCAGAAGAGAACTCCTGAATGCCCCAGTTCCACCTGAGCGCTGGGAGCAGCCCTATGCCTCCTATCCTGGGAGGGGACTTAATGGAAATGCCAAAGTTCAGGACTGAAGAGAGCACATCAGGTGTGATGAGGAAATGGACCCGGGAGTGCCCGTATGTAGACAAAGCCTGACCTGCTGAGTTCCTGGGCATGGGTTTGCTTCCTCCTGTTGACTTATTCCTGGCTGGGAAGCTTAAGGAATGAAACATTACCCCTTTTCCGTGGCTTTTCATCTAAGGTACCTACTTCTCATAGTCGTGTGCCCACTGTCTCAGTGAGAGCCATGTCATGTGGTTAGAAGCAGAAGAAAAGAACAAGAAGGAAGACAAATATTTCCAGATGTGATCTTGTCTTGCTAAAAGAAAATTGCACAGACAGAAAATACTCAGCTACTAGTGTGCCTCAGAGGTCCACAGAGGGAACATCAGCACATCTATATTTAAATCAAGAGAAGATAAATAACATACTTTGTAACGACGTTTCTCCTTTGAGTGACGGGCAACGGGCAACATACTTTAAAAGGGTATTTGTAAGAAAGAATCAACAGCTGTTGTGGTTCCTACTATTACAAGCTATGGGTCCTCCTGAGTTGCTACCCATTATCCTGCCACAGAGGAGAACTCAGCAGCAGGCTGGCAGACTCCAGCAGAGAAACGCTGGGCTTCCAGCGGAGGCTGGCGTGAACGCAGTCCTTTCTTGTCTCATTTTTGTCTTTTTAATTTTGTCGTGGAAGTTAAGACGACGTTTCCCCAGGCTATTCTAACTCAACCCCTCCTGCCTTAGTCTCCAGGGTGCTAGGAGTTCAGGTGTGCACTGGCACTCCTGGCTCATCCTGGCCTCTTTTTAAGTCCATGAACTTTGTTCCAGTGTCTAAGCTTTCAACTGACTTATAAAGAGAACAAACAAGCACTCGAAGGGGACTAGAGAGATGCACATTGGTTAAGAGTGCTTATTGCTGTTGCAAAGAATCCAAGTTCAGTAGCCAGCTACTTGAGACAGTGAACAATTACCTATAACTACAGCTCTAGGGGCGGGCACCTGCACTCCTATGAACATACCCCTGC